CATCCCAGGCACCATTCTAGTAACCCTTCTCTGAACCCTTTCCAACAATTCAATGTCTTTCCTAAGGTAAGGAGCCCAAATTTAAGAGAGTTTAAGAAAAGGCTCAGTAAATATTTAAATGATGATGACTTTTTTAATATAGTGGATGGGATGGTCATGATGGACCACCAGGCCCCTTGTTGCCTTTAAACATTGTTAATAATACTATTAGTGTTATTAGTTTATAGGGCTTAATGTTATTGTTACCAATAATAGTGATATTGATAATACTTGATTCTTGCAGTTGCATGAAAACTGAAACATAAAAGCTTGTAACATTGCTAGTAAATCAATATGTATTATCTTTGATGAAATATAAGACGTGTGGTATTTATTTACATTTTGATAAAACTGGAACTATAAATAGGGTATGTTTTGACTGTAAGTGCCTGTTTGTCGAATAGTTAACTATTTTTTCAGTTATTTACATAAAATATATAATTTTTCCACTGTACATTGGTGGTAGATTGTTCGAGAGGCAGGTAAAACCTTACCAGATCTGGTAAAAAAAGTACTGCATTGAAATGACTGTACCAGGTACAGAGAAGAACAATAAAATTACCAGATCTTTACCTCTCATGTAAGAGTTTACAGGACTCTAGACTCATTGACTTTATGTGCATCTAATTAATGGGCAGAAATTATATTAATAACAGATTTAGCCTTTTCTAATCTTTATGGGCTTACATGGACTGTTTAGGGACTTTTTTTATGAACAATTTTAAGTCATGCTGCAACAGTTTCTGTCATTCTATAAAAGTTATAATCTTAAAGAGCACTAGAAAACCAAGAAAACTTGTGAGAATATGAACAGAAATAAAGGGTGGTTTTATAGGATACTTTTCAGTAGTTTCTTGAAGATGGTGTAGGGAACAAAAACTGAATAGCCTGAACTGATTGTAGATCTTCGTGCAAAGGTTGAAGAAATAGTTGAATGCTACATCAGATGTGCGAAAGAAAAGATAAAAATTTTTTAGCAGAATATTAACCTAAGCCATGTTCCTTTAGTTTTTCTAGTTCATTCCATATTCCCTGTACATTTCTGTTGATCACTTTGTTCTTTAGTTTATAATGTCTGGAAGTTAACTGACCTTTTACGTGAAAATCATTTGAGAGAATGTTTGTATGACATTCAAATCTACAGTTTTGGGGATGCTAAATCATTTTATTTTTTATCTATTAGACATGATTTTAAACATACATGTAAAAGTTACAGTTGTCCTAGCAATCAAAATGTCTGTGAACATAATGTCATACGTTGTACTTCACATTTTAGTTATTTATGTGTCTTCCCATTGATTTAATAGACAATTTTTATACTTAGTGTTTTGATTTATTATGTAGATTACTGCTTATAAGTTATTGAATTATGAATTTTACAATTTTTGATTTTTTGTTTGGTAATTTATCTTTCCCTGCATTTCTCTTGTATAATCTGCTTCAGCAGCAACCAGGAAATATCTGTAATCTGTAATATCTGTTGTAGAACGTACATAAATACATACGTACTCAGTTTATTTGTTTTCCTCTAATGAGGAAGTTTGCTTTTTTAATTTCATTATATAATGTACCCTTCTTCCTTCTTGTTTTTGCTAATGATTGTTTACATCGTTACAATTTTTGTTAAATTTTATCAAGCCTAATTTTTCATACGTTGTTGCAAATAACACGATAGAACTAAAGGATAAAGATGTTTCCATTAAAATTTTTAGCAATTAGCAACATATTAAGTCAAATCACTAATTTAAAAAATGCCATTAAAACTGAGAAACAAATAAAACTAATTTCAAACTATGTAATGTTTTCAGATTATTTCCACATATCTCATTATGAAATACATGCAAGTATGTTGTGAAGTATTAAACATGCAAGCATTTTATTTGTCCAAATCATGGTCTTTGTCTTCATTACCAGTCTGTTTTTTTCTATACAACAAATCTATCACAAGTGTAAGCAGTTTTTAATATATTTGCATTTATTTTATCAATAATCCAGTCAACTACTTTTATCTTCACCTCAAGGTTTAAAAAACTTGTTTTAAACAAAATCATTGGCATTTAAACAATGTGTTATGAACCATCAGTCATTGTTTTTTTTTTTTTGCAGTTGTTAGTACTTCAATCAAATCTCATGTTAATCTATTTTAACTCGCAATTTTAGTAGACATTTTTTTTTGTTTTCTGACATTTTTTAAGTTTTAATATAATTTTATTGTATCTGATGTGTTGCTTTTGTAAGATATAGTAGTTATTTTTTATTTTTCTAATGTAAATATTGTGTTCACTGGTGATCTTGTCTTTTACTTTATTCTTGCCATTGAACTATATATGACCTCTGCTGTAAGTTAATACAGATATTTTTCAGTGGTGTATCATGACATTGCTTCATATGCCACCCCTGCTGTTTTCAATTGACCAAAGAGTCCATTAGGTCCATTGGCTCAGGTCAAGGCCATATATATATACATTAAAGACTTTGGTTTTAGGTTTCAAAGAATTTAAGTGCTATATGTATCAATAAGTAAATATTAAGTAGAGCAAATAATCCAAAGTTCATGTTAGATACAAGTACATGATAGGTTACAGAAAATATTGATTTTGTTTCTCAGAGTACTTGGATTTTATTGTCATGTAGTTTTTCCACTTCTTAATTAAATGGGTGAAAAAGTGATATATTGAGAATAAGTTTTTTGAACAAATGTATAAAATACTGTATTCTCTTACATATAAAAAAAATACTTATAACTTGTAAACTTTGTATTATTTAACTTCTTTCACTGGTTATAACTTTACTAGATTTTTAAATTTATTTTCATAAATAAAAGTATTTTAGAATAAATTATCAGGCAAAGAATACCCATCTAATCTATAATACACTTACACTCATTGTTGTGTCTACACATTATAGCTATGATTAGTTATGTGTGTTCTACGAAAAGCATTTTCAAAATTTCATTTTTTCTTTCTCTGGTTGAAGTCCTAGTTATCACTATAGAAATTAATTTGATAATGATATTGAATAAATGCAATTAATTTTATTTAAAGTAATTGGGTATGTTACATCTGAACATGAACTTTTATATTCTTTGAAGTGATTATGAATTTTTTGTAGACAACAGTATCAGCTTACAGTATGTGATATATGATTGACCAGTCACTTTCAACAGTCTCTTTCACAATTTACTTGGTTTTTTGATTTTAATACATGTAATGTGATTTAATCCATTACCTTGACAATATTAGTTTTATTTAGACTTAATATTTTCAAAAAGTAAGCCAAAATTAATAAGTCTGCAGCTTAAATTGGATATTTTAGAACAAAAATATTAATTTCACCTCACCCTCAGCTCTACTCAAAGTACCTTGTGCAGAATAGTGTTTTTCAAGCAACTTCAGCTAGCTGAATCTCATGCAGAAGTTGTGTATAGCTTGTTTGAAGCCCAGTAGACATATAGTCATACATGTACAAGACTATTTATGTCACATATGTCAGGTTTTAATTTTAGAATCATTTTATTTAGTACAGTGATCAAAAAGTTTTGTCATTTTGATAGTATTGGAATAATATGTATCTTATATGTAACTTAAAAATAGTAGTGCATCAGGAACGTGTTTCAAAGATTGCTTTTCTAGATAGTGGATAATCGACATGATCTTGAGTGTGTTGATAATATGCCAATGTTTTAATTTTTGCATGCTCATGTTTATAGCTTTTCACCAGTTCCAAACATAATATTTCAGTGACACATGAATATGATTTAAAATTATTTTCCATTTATGTCAGTGTATAACCCTTTAAACATGGGAACATCTTTAAACACTTTTCTGCACAAGTCAATGTGTTATGTTCAAAATGTAATTAAACACTTTTACTATCAATTAAATAAAATTATAATTTATATTATGATTTGAAGTTTTATGTTATCTAAGTTTTAAGTCCTTTATTTCAAAGGAAAACTTCAAATGTATTGTCATGTGACCAACAAGCTATGAAAATTTGTTGTTTGGCTCTCTGTATCCTCAATAATACAATGATAGTTGTGTAGATATATGTCTAGATTCTGAGATGCTTACTTAACCTTTTGACTTGTACATTTCAAAGATCTCTGAATGAATGCAGTTGAAATAAGTAATAATTTTTTCAACCCCTGACAGGTGCTACACCCACCTTCAACAGATTTGTTTGAGTTTTGTAGCCTACATGTAGATGTTACATACATATGTGGATAGTCATTAGAAAGAGCTCCTTTAACACTATAATCTAACAATGGTTATTTTGAATTTGCCACCAATTTGTCATCATGGAGTACATGTAGTTGACTGTAGTGTTGTTGGCTGCTGGATCGACTATAGCACTTATAGTTGTTTCTTACCTGAATATGTTATAGTTAGAAATACAGTTTAAATTGTATTTAGACCTTACTATTATATTTTAATTAATTATGTATTAGCTATGTTTTAAAATGCATAATTGAAATGTTTAAACATTTTGTAAATATACACCATACTTTGTGTCAGTTCTCAAGGCTTACTGGCTTATGATATTATGGGGTGCACAAAGATTTTGCCAAATGGTTGTACATGTCTGGCAGAGATACCGTAATATGCTTTGAGGGCACCATTGACTTGTGTCAAGATGAAGAATAAATGGTAAAGGACAAGAAAGGAAAATAAAACATTAAAAATCAACTAAATGGTAGAGAAAATGAAAAATAAAATATAAACATTTACCTTATAAAAAAATTTTTGATATTCATTTATGATGTTCTAGAGGTTATGCATATGAAATATGAAAACTATAAGATGAAGAAAAGTATTTTATACTTAAAATAAAAATCATATTACACTCAGACTATTTTAACAGCTTGAGTGCAAGTAATTACTATAGATAAATAACATTTTTATAAAAAAGATGTAATCACAATAATGTCATTCTTTGTGTATAAAATATTTATAAACTTTAAATTCAAAGTATTTTAAATATTACTTTTAACAGTGCGTTACTAGAAATGTTAATTTTAGTGTGTGTATGTGTAAGAATGTGTTGAGAGCTGTTAAACATATCTTCTTAGATATCCTTCAATGGACAGTTCTCATTTTCTCTAGGTACAAAGTATTCCAATTGGAATAGGTCTTATTGTAATAGGATACTGTATATCCTGAGTTGGTACAAATGTTATATTTTTTCTGGTTCTTTTTGTCTTTAATTGTGTGCATGTTATCTCGGGTACTTTTTTTGAAACAATGACAACACTGAATTAGATGATTTAAGAACCTAAAAATTTTGAGAAGCCTGTGATTGCAGCATGTCAATCTCCAAGTCTTGAAATTATTGGAGTTTAGTGATTTTTGATAGTGAATTTTAAGTTACATTTAAAAACAAATTTTAATATAAGATAGAAATTCACTTGGATAAATTTAAAATTTACAGTGAGCTCTAAGGCAATGTTTGAGAAAAGAAAAAATTTAGTGTGGATAAATTAACTTCTTTGTTGTGATAAAATCAGTATATTACTGTACTAAAAGAAGAGCTACAGCATCACATTTAGTTGTAATGTACGGTGTTATTTAGCATGAAATTAATTATCTAACAGTATAAATGTGGTAATATTAAATATAGTGTAACAATGACTATTAGGGTCATCGCCAGGGGATTGAAGGAGTGTGTGAGCTCATCTCTTTTTGGACCACAAATAAACATTAATATCATGAGTCACTGTATCTACGTGCAGTTTAAAGGAAAAATTAATATCCTTAGTTTACTCAACTTGGACTAAAGCGTAATGAATGACCAGTGGTTCCATTTCTCTGTGTGATGTGAATGGGCAAGCAACGTATCATTCTACACCATACTAACGAAGCAAACACCATACTGTAAAATCACATTGTGACCCAAATAAATCTTTCATATTTTCTTTATCCTGGGATAGCTAAATATGTTTCAAAAGGTTGTGGCTGTTTTTTCACACATACAGACCCTTAACCAGTTTGACATAGTATGATTCAGTGCTGAAATTGAATATTTAGAATAGTTATTAAAAAGGAATTTACATATGTATAATTGTGATGTACACATAAATTTGATATTGAATAATGAGTAGTGAGTATCCATAATGTTATTAAAACTTGCATGTTTATTTATTTTAACATAATTTGCTCATCATTGAGTTCTCTTGATAACACCTGCAGTTTTACATGTGTGTCTATATATATATATATATGCATCATGAACAGAAATTAATCCACCTGAAAAAATACAAACCTCCTTAAGAAAGTGATAATGATGTTTTTGTTGTGTTTGAATGAAATGTACATGTGTCATCAACTGTAAAAGTAACAAACATTTATCTGGTACGAGCACAAGTGGAAATTAAGGTTCATTGTTTTGCATACTCAAACATGTTTTACCATTTTGTCAAATTTCTTTGTAATTTATTGTATGTCCTTAAGTCAGATTTATTTTATGCTTCAATAATTTTAATTTACATTGATAAATATATTCCATAGAGCTGGGCAATTAGGGGTATTTGCTAATCAATTAATTGACAGCCCCACTAAGTTAGTACAGTATTCATCCAACCATGGTAAGTACAAGCAGAAAAAAATAAAAGGTTGGAAGCAGGTGCTGCCTGAAATTTTGCCTTCATTCTAGTCAGCAGTTCAATAATAACAACAACAAAGAAAATGTTGATGGCAAATGCTGTCATCAGTTAAACATTAGTGACAGTGGCAGATAGCCTTAATAGCTTTGCTATAACAAAAACAGGGCAAGCAAGTTTGGTAGTAATATTCTGACTACTTTTATAGTTAAAATAATCTGAAATAGTAATAATTAGAAATCATAATTTTGATCAATTGATTATTGGAGTAATCAAAAACAGTAAAAATTGTAACTTATTTTGATTAATTGATTAGCTTATGTGACATAAATTGCTTTAATTGCTGCTCATATGTAATCAATTAAATTGCTGAGTTCTAATATCCATTTCAAGCCAGAGCTCAAGATTAGTTGTTGTAAATATTTATCATGTTTGTTTTCAGGTGAAGTTATTGAAGTAACTAATCACATTTTTTCTTCATAACATTGCAGGACAACAAAATTGTGCTAGAATTCCTTCCACAATTCTTCAGTGAGAGGTTGATTTTGATGTTCACATAATGGCCTCAAGCATGAATTATTAGTTGTAGTAGGAAAATCCAGTTTGGAAGCATCACCTAGAGACTGTAGTGTATTAGCAAATGTGTAAGAGAATCACTACAAGGTCAGTCTGATTAGGAATCACCATTGTGGTTCATACTATTTTTTCAGTTGATAATGTAATATTTTTAGAAGTTGTATGAATCAATACAAAAATATAGGAAGAGTGAATTTTATATATCTATTTCTGTTCTTATTAAGGATGAAGCTGACTTTATAGTATTACTAGTATTGGTGCTGTGGATAGTTGATGCTTTTTATATATATACCAAATCTTATTACTTTTCTTAAATGTAAAAATTGTAAGAACCTAAAAACAAACTAATGTGAGAAATTAAGTCGACGTTTTAATGTAACTCAAACTTAGCTAGCTAAGCTAGATGCTTTCTGAAGTTGTTGTAAGAGTAAAATTCACATATATTATTAAATTGTTTTTATTGGAGTTCTTAATTACTGTCATAAGTTTGTAGGTACGAATCACTATATGTAGTCTAGTTTTGATATCAGATTAGCCTAAGATTAATCTTTTCACAAAACTTAGTTTGTAAAAGACTTAAATAGAATGATCACAATATTATCCAGGAGGACATGTATATACTTGTCTGCGAAAACAGCCGATATACTCTATTTCTGGCCACAGTCACTTGCTACACATGTACCGATATATTTGGCCCCTTCAAAACAATGGCTGTTGAAGCATGGTCCCAACAAGAATCTCGGAGGTGTTAGGCTGTGGGTTAAAATGTGATTCCTTAAATTTTTTTTATAAACTATCACAATGTGGTTGCTACTCAGTACTCAAGATACTTGAATGTCTTGAAAGAAATTAAAATAATGCTAATTGATCTATATATTGTTATATTTTTCTTTCAGAATATGTGGGCCCATTCACAACTCTTACTGCTAGTTTTATCTGCAGCTTTGGCTGATGAAGAGTGGTCTAATATGTGTACAAGACAAGTACAGTAAGTTTGCTACAAAAGTTTGTAATTTTAAATTTAAATACAGCCCTCAGGTTTAAAAATAACGATTGTGATTCAGCAAATTACTAAAAAAATCATCAGATGAGATTATGAGAAATTCAGTTTTAGATTAATAAATTTACATGTGACAATACTAACCAAACTAATTTTTTATTGTAAAGTTTGTTCACATTAAGCTACAGAAGTGTTACCTCTTAATAATTTTGAAACCTTAAAGTATAGAGCATTTTAACATAGGAACTTAAATGTGCATAGCCTAAACATGGATGTAATTGATCAATGTAAAGTTGCAAGTGCAATGTCTGATAGTTGGTACAGTTCTTGTAACAGTGTGATAGGTAGAAGGGAGGAGGTTTCTAAACTCATAGCTAAAAGTAATGGAGCAGTAAAGTTAGTTGAGAATTTTTGGTTATATTGAGGTAGAAAACAAGACTGAAGAAGCAACTTTAATGAAAGAAAAAGTATCTTTCATCTAACCATATCAATATTTCTGATTTTGGTGTATAGGAATTCATTTAGTTTTTCTGTTCTGTACCTCCTTTCTATAACATTTCTCATCTTCGGATAAACTTCTTTCATGAAGTCCTATTGATATATTTGAGTTGTTACTGAATTTTTCATCAATTGGAGGTTTTATATGATGCAGAGTATGGATTAACCAATTCAGAAAGCCCACAATTTTTCCTTTAATTGTGGGTTTTTACAAAATAATTAATCCATTCTCTGCCTCATATAAAATCTTATTTTAAGATTACTTCCCCAAAACTATTTTTTTTAAATGAAGGCCTAACACTGACTGACAAGAGTGGTTTTGTAAAATTACATTTTTACTACAGTTTTTCTGTCTTCTCCTTATATTTAGCCCCTACACTTTTCATAAGTAAAGTTTAAGATGTTATAATATCAATAGTAAATACTACTCAGAACTTGTAGTCTGTCATGACTATCTATGTCATCAAAGTGAGCTCAGAGGCCTGATTTTACTTAACTAGCCAAAGCCTTTGGATGTCCAAGCAATTAAAAAACATTAACAAACAATATATTTAGTTAAAGTTTCAGGCTAATGATAATTACAAACTTAGACACTTCAATATGGATACATATTACAAACTAACATTCTCTTTGACACAGGCTTTCCAAATTTATAATAGTGTTCTCACTTTTTATCTCCACCACTTAAGATGAATGGAGGTTGTGTTTTCACCCCTGTGTTTGTGTTTGTCAGTTCTCAAAAACGGCTGAACGGAATTAGAAGAAAGTTGGTATACATTTGGACTATGACCCAACTTAGAAATGATTGGTGTTTGGAGGGTCAAGGTCATGAAAATCTAAAAAAATTCTTATCTATTAAAATGCGACCAATTTTGTACACTATTTTTGCTCTTTAACTCAGTCAAAAATGATCAAATTTTATGAAATTTGGTGGACATGTGTAGAATATTATTTCTCATTGTCCTGCCAGAAATGGTCTGTACCTGTTGATAACGACAGGGATACGGACACATTTTCATATTTTTTGAGAGCTGAATATGATCAAAGCTGCATGGCGGAGGTATATGCTCTGGTGAGTGTCCCTCCAGTATAGCTATTCAACACTTCATTTAAAGACATAATCAAACCCTCACGTACAGTTCTAGTGAAAGTTGTGTTCTTGTGAAGAAAGTACTTTTATTTAAAATTGTGTTCTGTTATAAAGAAATGGTTGTTGCACATACAGTTATTTTTCTAATTGTCTGAATATTGAATACCCAAAGTGTGAAATTTCTTATGAATTTTTGTTTGTGGTGCCATTCAATAGATGGTGCAGGAGTTGTGGTTACATACATAGATACTAACATACACACTACGTCCATTATAGTAAAATGTGTTGAGTCACACCTTGGAACATAAAAAGGAAGTTTTTGTTCTTCACCCATTTCATGTTCTTCTTGTTCTAAGTTGATGTAGTTGGAAGTTTGTATTTTCTAACCAAAGCATTACTGTTAGTCTATTCTGTTTCACTGTTTATGTATAATTATTTGTATTATTATTTATTCATTTGGGTGACTTAAGGCATATGTCTTAACTAATTAACAGTGTTGTTAAAAAATGTGATTGCTAATAACATTCTCTCTCTTGTAACTTTTTGTTATATTTGAAGGTTCATATTTATTTTATGATCACACTGTGTTACACTGTTTTGTTTTCTTCTTTATTATTATGTTAAATAAATCAACAGTTAGTTTTGAAATATTTACTATTGTTTAGAGCTGTTATTGGCCAAATTACTGTTTATTCTCTATTATTTTGTAATGTTCTGTCATACAGGTTGCACTAGTTTCTCTGTGTAAGTCTGACATTACCAGTTCCACTAAGTAATGAGATCTAGTCAATTGGAAACAGCATCTTAAGTGAATCAATCAGTTTGCAAATAAATCATGAGGGAGTATGACCAGCATGGTTAACTCACAGCTCAAGTAAAGGCAACTGTCCATCATTCATAAGTTAAAGTACACACCCTGTTGATTTATGTTGTGTTAAATAGAAATTTTCATTGTACATCACATGTTATGTCCAGTCCATTATCACAGACTTAGTTAGTTTTAGCAAAACTCATTATTACTGTGCCTTAAATTTTGCCTATATATATAACCTTCTGTTATATATATAGGAATTATCTAACTTATTCTTTTGGGAAATTGATTTCTCGAGTACCACAGAGTAGGCAGGAAGGAGAAATGTGGGTGCCATGACAACACAATATTATTAGTTTTCATTTTCTGTAAGTTGAAGTACTTACAGAATCTTGTGCTTTTCATACTGTAGTCTATATCAGAGATTCTTCAGACTGGATGTTGTTTTGCAAGAGAGGAACAAAGTATTAGTTTTTGGTGTGGTATGCTGATACTTTGCCAAGCAGCAAGGTATGCATGGCTATTAGTTTAGGTCCGTGCAAAAGATGCAGGAGAACCAACAACATGTGGTAAGCGCTGCCAGTAACTTGCTGGAGCACAACAGGCAGCTTGCACTGAAAGGTTTGGTAGTCATTTCAGCTCTCTATCTGGATTAGCTGGAGCTTGGTATTTCTTGTAAGAGTACATGTCCAACAGATCAAGATCATAGTTGATACAGGAACAGTCAGAAGACTGGTAGATATTGCAATAGCCTAGATGTGATTGAAGAAGTAGATCTCTGGCTGTGTCTAGAAGATGTTCACAGAATGAGGGTAATCATTGTTGACATCAGATTTGGTGGGATGTATTGTGGAAACTGTTGGTCAGTTTTGCCATTTCAAAGGGTCAAATGTTTTGGTATTTTCAGTGAAGTAGAAGTGCACAGGACCATAACCTCCTAGAGTATACACTTGGTTGAAATTCATTCAGGTATTTGAACAAAGCTTAATCTCTGGGTTATAGTGTCAGGATACCAATGTAGTTTTGAATGTATATCCATTTATGTTAAGTTATACCGTATGTATCTTTACAAAATTAATAAGGTTGCTACAACCAAAGAAAGTGACCCATAAAAAAGTGTTTTTACAAAAACATTCAGCTGCAACAGAACTGACAGGTGTCATAATCAATTACTATTCAACTACTACATTTAATGTTAGAATTTTGATAACCATTGTAATGCAACTAAGTTTTAAAGAGTGTCCCACCACCATTCTGAAAAGTCTTTTTGTTTTTCGAGAATAAGTGAAAACTGAGACTTGTTGGTATTTAAACCCCCCAACTCCATTTCACTTTTTCACAAAAAGAAATCTGTTACTGTACAAGTATTGGTTTGAAATAACCACTTTGAGCTGCTGGATCACCTGAATGTTGTTCTTCAATGAGTAATTTTGTCTTATAGGAATACAGTCATTTTAATAAATAATCTAACTGTGGACAAAACTTCTTAAAACTGTGTGTATAAAAATGTTTTCAAAGGACAAATAGTATAATAGTTGGATTTATGTGTTGCCAAGAGATAACTACTGTGTTTTCGAATGAAATGGAAATAGTAAAGTATTGTGATTTCTCTCATTTATTTTTATCTGGTTTGTACCGTGATATTTGAATATTATGTTTAGATGATGGTTTATACAACAACAAGGGGGGTGTCTAGCTCATGTGGTGTGTGATTATTGTTTTTAGTTCTAAATTTAATTTGAAATTAATAATTCATATTATGAAGTATAATTTGTATCCATATAGTGATTATATGTATACATATTAATATGTAATTTCTAATTTCATAGATATTCAGTATCTACAAGAAAATCTTACAGCAAGCCATACCATATCAGAACATATACTTGGTGTTTTGCTATTCCACCTAGATGCTCAAGGTTCAGGTAAGAAAACTTTTCAAAACTTTTATCATATAATCCTTTAAAAATTTCACATTAAAAATGATGAGTGCCTTCAGATCATATGGGGTAACTATTTGGAAGGCAAAGTAGAATCCTGTGGCATGGCATGCATCGTTGAGGAGGTCTCTGGATGTGATATCTTTCCTGTTGAAACAAGAGAGGATATCCACTAAAATGCAGTTATGCATTCTGCAAGACTGTGGGGTCTTGATGAGGATCTGGCGATCTTGGTGTAGGTCCTGGAATATCCCTGTTGGCTGGTCTCTGGTTCTGGTCTTGCTGATTGCTGGCCAGATGATGGTCCTGTGTTCAGGGAGAGCTGGTGTCATACTTGTTGGCTTGTGGTGGTAGAGGCTCCTCTTGATGGTGCATTGGTTGAATGGGCTACCCTAAATATCTACTAATATTTGGGACACCCTTGGAAGGAGGTGGCATTGTCGTGGGCGTTTGGCTACTGGGTGCTGTTTGCCACACTGTACACCCTTCCATTGATGAGTGCCTTCAGATCATATGGGGTATTTGAAGAAGATTAGGGTGTCTTGGCTGGTTCAAACAGATTTAATTTTCTCTGCTTTGTTGGCAGATATTTCTTGTGACTGTAGTTCTTCCTCTGACATGATGTCAAATGGTTCACTTCTGATGACTATTGTGTGGAATTTATCTTCTTGGTTATTCCCTGGAATGTGAACATTAAGTGTGGAGTTCTGGATGGCTGAAGGGTCCTGGGGCTTGAGGAGCTTGGCATACTTGGCTGGGGTGTTGGTTTTAATGATGACACCTCCTTTAGCTAGTCTTTAAACATTGGTAAAACCATTCTTGGGGAAGAGTCTTTTGAGTTTTGTAGCTATTTCTGTACATCTGTAGCTGGCTCGGGAGTCCTTCCACGGTGATGGCTGGAGGAGATTGTAGCTGCTGGCTGGTAGAAGTAGAGGCTTGAGGTGGAGTGGGTTGTTTAGTTGGCAGTGACCTTATGGCTTGGTTGGTTGGGGTGGATGATTTATTGGATCTCGTGGTGCTGGGTGAAATAGGTGAAGCTTGGCTAAATCGGCTGGTAGCCTATTCAACACAGCTTTGAATCATGGTTAGCTGCTCTTCTGGTGTCAAGGGCTTACTCATGGATCTAGTTCTTTTACGTGGTGGGAAACTAGTGCTGGTGGGCTGGAGCCCTCAGTGGATTGTTTCTGTAGTTCCAGGTCAGGACTGGAACTAGTGGTCTTCTTACCCCTCCACCCAATGATGTGGTGTGGATGGAAATAAAAGAATCATTGAACGTTTTCTCTCTTCATCAAAAAATTTCGAATTCTGTCAAAAATTCATTCCATAACCTGTGGAATTTCTCAAGGATTTACCTAGAACACGCGCAGGCAAAGCTCAACAATCACTTTTTAATTGACAGGAGAACAAGCATGAATAATGTTGATGCCAAATTTTATTTCACAAGCAGGATATTCAACACTAAATTGTTAGGAATTAATCATACTATCATTCACATTTCAAAATGTGGTGTAACTTAAAGAATAAAAGTTTAGATTTACCTGGTAATCACACCTTGCACTTCATTGAACAAAAATGACATAAGAATGTGTGTTACCATACTTATTTGGGTAATAACAAAGATTGTTATTAATTACAGTTGCACTTTAAATTTCTTTTTATTAAGCTTAGAAATTGTTTATCGTATTTAGCTTTTTGTAAGAAAAGATATGTCCTACAGAGTGCAAATTGTTCAGTTTACCTGTATCAATATCTGAAATGGTATTGAGATTTTTTTATAGTTCTAGTGTGTTACATTATGTTTGGATAAAGTTATTTTATTATTCTAGGATTGCATATACAACTGGATATCAGTTGGAACATGTAACAAAAACAAAAAAGGTGAATGAATGCTGTGAAGGGTACATTCGTGGTGAAAGTGAAGGAAAATGTATTCGTAAGTAATTTTCATAATAATCAGTGTTACTTTAAAAAATGGGATTTTTTTTAAAGCTGTAATATGCTAAATTTGATTCTAATTTAGTCATGGCAGTAGGCATGTGTTATAATTTAATGTTATTCCTATTTATTAGCATTACTTGGTTCAAAAAATTTAGCATAATACTTAATCTGAAGTAGAAGAAGAAAGTATTGGAATTATGGCATAACATTTTGTCTTTTTAGTAAAAAAAATAGTCCTTCAAGAAGTTTGTGCTAAATACAGTATATTATTTTCATTTTACAAAATGACAAGTAATTTATAGTTCATGCATGATTGCATGTAAATTGTTTGCACTTTTAGTATTTCAATCATCATTACATTTTTTCAAAATCTGAAGCTGTGAAAATTAAATGTCTATTTGTGAATCAAATTTTAAAAGTATATATTTAACCCCATGACTACTCACAGTGAAGATTGTTAGTAGGTAACATCACTCCCGTAATATTTCTTTCCAAAAATATAACTAATTCATGAAATTGTTTGAAATTTGACAAGAATTTTCCTAAAAGTATGTAGTTTCATAAAAATAAAATATTTTGATTCTTTCTACTATTTCTAATAAAAATTTGCTCTTTAATGTAGTTATTTGCACTCAGACTCTGAATAGTTCACCTGAAAGGTGATTTTCATGATAAGTATAAAAATACTATTTTTTTTTATCTTATAGTTTTCACGTTTCACTTGCATAATCTCTAGAAACTCTTAATTGAATATCAAAAGTTTTTAAGGTAAATATTTATATTTTATTTTCCATTTTCTCTACCATATTACTAACTCTAGCCATTATCATCAATGTACAGTGCAATGAAATGTTTAAGATTAAGAAATTAAAATAAGTACTTACCTTTTCTCTCTCTGTTTAATAATCTTAAAATATCTTCTTTGGGTCATGTGCATAATTTCAAGTCTTTGCCTTTTCACCAATTTTTTTGTTTTCAAGGTTTTATTTTCCTTTCCAATTCTTTATCTTTTATTTGTTATGTTAACTTACGGGTGTCCGCAGGCAATATAACGGTATCATCAACAGAGACAGTTTAGCCTCCGACGAGATATAGTTTGCACACGCCTTTTTTAGGAAAGACTTTTTTTTTTCTAGTGAGGCAAAACTTAAAATAATATTAAAAAAATCATTAAACCTTTCAAATATGCATTTTTAAAACACAAATAATACATAATTGACTAAAACATAAAAGTAAAACGTAAATACAACTTAATTGTCTATCAAACTATTATGATAAAAATTACCAAGCTCTAGGTAAAAAGAACTTATCACTTGTGTTTTCTGGCAAGCTTGAGAGATTAGACTGAGAAATCTGCCTTTTCTGTTGGTTATAAGCATGCCATTAAAGTCTTGAAAAGACTATTGCTTATCAACAGATTACTTTGGAATGTGGATGTGGCATCTATCAGAGGGGAAGAGAGAAATAAGCTCTTTCTTGGAATGTTAGTCTGTTGTAATATGAAACTTAAGTTTAGAACTCGACATTGTATGGGTAGAAGGTCGTCTAAACTGTCGCAGAGATACCAAGACTAAACTGAATAGAAACAGAAGAAACGAAAGCTCAGATATTTTAACTGAATGTATGTCACATGTCAACAAAACTGAAGATTTAATTGTTTGTTTCAGAGGTTTCTTTTGAAATAAAGGAATAGTAACTTAGATGATATAAAACTTTGAATTATAAGGTTTTTGATAATGCTAGTTTCATTCAAATACATTGATATTAAAGTGGTTTAATTAAATTTTGAATGTTACTCAGTAACATTTTTTGTGACATGCTCAAAGGAATTTAAAGAGTGTACCAGAAGTCAAAGGGTTATGTATAAATATACAGACTGTGTGTGTGTGTGTGGTTTTTTAATGTATTTTTAGTATTTGAAATTATTTTAATCCTCTTGTGTGCATAACAGAGAAAGCAATTAAGTAAACCAGAATATTTTGACACTCTGGCCAACATTCATTGCCACCTTCACATCATTTTGTATTTAAGGAATTTATTTATGATAATGCAATGTGTTCCATGTTTTGACTAATTTAGTTCAAAATATTAGAAAAGCTTTGCATTCTCCTTCCCTTCTTTTCCACCAGCATGCTTTATTTGCATCTTTGTTTCCAAACATTTATTCAAGGTGATATCTGGCACATCTTTGAGGAATTTACTTCTAAATGAAACAAGGCCTATCAATATTTGGGATGTAATGAAGAGCCATTGTGTTGTATTACAATCTGTTTGCTTATTACCAGATACAAAAGATTAGTTGCACACTCTCAGTCATTTCAATTTAAAATTTTTTGACCCTTTACTTATGTAATCATGCTTTACTTCTTAGAATTTAATATTTGTATGGTTTGATGACATGATTACTTACAACTTAGAATGTGTAAAAACAGCACTGATTTTGAAGAAGTTTATTTTTTGAAATTTTTATTTCTGATTGAAACTGCTTTAGTGAGTGTTTTTCATTAAGCTTAAAGACATTGAATACAAATAGAAAGAATTCTTAATTTTGGATGTGCATTAGAGAAAACTTGTTGAAAGTTAATGTTTATACTCACTTGGTAGTGACATTTTAGACTATTCTTGATCTAATTTTAAATTTATAATACATTTAATTTATTAAAATGATATATGAGTGCTTCTTATTGTGATTAATAGTGATTTGTGATAAGTCATGCAGTAGTGGAAAATAGTGACACAAAATTGAATTGGAAATAAGAAAGAGCTAGTGACACCTGTGTTCAACTTTACTGAAAAAAATAAACAAAATTGATCATGCCACTGTGAAAACTATCAATGTAGGTAATAAGAAGTATGCAACTGGAAATGTTTTTTCCCATCCTTACATTTCTGTGAATGTCAGGTTAGATGTGGTTAAAAATAACATTTCAAATTGATTCTTTTATCTGTTGTAAGTCAGTGTCCATAAAGCCTCTCTGAAAATATCAGAACTCCTCAGCCAAAGTAAAGTATGTCTGAAATATTATTAAAACTGGTGAAGCATTGAAAATCAACAGATCTAACATTTCTGTTGAGTGAAAATGCTGTGGGTGTTTTTAGCACATTACTTTTAATCTGTTAATTACAGATTTCAACTTTGAAGTGTGTGTTACACTAAGCATTTTAGATCTGAATCTAAGTCTTTGTAATCCCAATACAAGAAGTCACAAGTACTTGAAAACATTTTCAGTTAATCATATTACTATCTTTGTTTAACTTTCTGATTTCTTAAAAAATCTAAAACCCGTTTTTACATATTGATATTTTTTTCAGCCTTTTTTCACACTTTAACTTTTCTCTTTATTACTGCTGTATGTTGTTCTTTGTGCTTTTTATAATTTGACACAAATGATCGTGTTATAGCATGGGGAACTTTTGTTTTTGTGTGTTTTGTGTACATTGACATGGAAGTTCTGTCTACTAACCAGTGTCTAATATGTAGATATTTTAATGTATATTTGTTGACAAGTAGTGCATTTTGTATTTTATTTCTATTGAACTCTTTCAGCATGGGCTCGGTCTGTGGAACAGACCTCGAAATCATTTTGTGTTTGTTATAGTTTTCATGCTATTACTTTTAAATTAGTGAGTGTATCTTCATGAAATTTTGCAGATTATCAGTAAACATTACAATGCTTTTGTATGCAAAACATCAGATTTTTTCATTAAGGTTTTTTTAAGTAATGTTTTTCTCATGCCTTTTTTTTCTCTTGGAATGTTGACCATCCAACATGCAAAGTAATTTTGATTATAAGATAAAAAAATACTTTTATGCATCAGAAAATTTTCAAATTTCACATGCAAAATCTTTGTAATCTCCAGATAATTATCAAATATTTGTTAAGAAAAAACTATATCTTATCTGTTATTTTCTATATCTAATGTCTGTATGGGTTTGCTCGACTTGACCGACCTTGTAACCACCATAAAAATTAGGAAATAAATATGAATTACGTTTTTTCGTTCTAGAATGACGAGTATTATAACACAAAAACACAAATGTTTAGTATAAATAGCTGAAATCTCATAACATTATACATTTATATATATTTATAATTTTTACTAATATTGACCTTTCAACTGTGCCTGGCTAACATTACAGAATTTGCAATGATGTGGCGCACGGGCACTCATGTTATTGTATCCAAGAATATAAAACTGGCCTTTACAAAGTGACCTGACTTGGCTATGTTCTAGTGACTAATATTTTGTAAAAAACAGTCACATTTCAGTTATAATTCATATGTATATACATTATTACTATTTACAAATAAGTTCTTAAACTTATTTTTCTTAAAACATAGAACAGTAAATGAAGAAGTATAGCAAACAATTATCTTTTCTAATTATGAACTTGTACTCGTGTGCTGCTTGCCATAGGTTCCTAAGCCTTATCAAATTTCTCACGCGGGGGATGTGAAAGAGTAATTTTTTTTAGGTTTATATGTATATATACATTTGAA